TGGGGAACTGGGTGCTCAACATCAATCCCAAGTGACATGCAATAGGCATCAAAAGTTTGGGAGGTAAACTCACCAGCGTTACCAAGTCGAATTGACTTTATTGGATAATCAGGGAATTGTGCTCGTAATTTAATTGTTTGTGCCTAAGAAATCACGGCCATGAGCTGGCCGAAGGAGCGCCTTTTCTCGGCCCTGGCACTTCCTCGTAAAACTGAAACGCAGCGTTTCAACTTTGCCTTCCTGAGAGATTGGGTGACTAACTATCAGAGCAATAAATGCGTCTCCACGGCCAGTTGCGCAAAACCCATGATCAGGGTGGCGGCCGAGATTCACCAGGATTTATGGGGTCATGCCACCCATACTTCACGATCCCAAATGTCGATTGGACTACCCACTTGCTCTAATCAGGCTCCACCATACAGATTTTCAGCCTCGATTACTCCTCCAGGAACTCTTCTTGTAAATACAAGGCTCAAGCTACATTCAAAGGGTTCAAACACCAAACCAAAGCCTCCCATGGAGCAACTTATTTTTTCCTGTAATCCACTTTCAATATCTTTACTTGCGCAGAGTCCATGATCGGGGCGGCGGCCGAGATTCACCAGGATTTATGGGGTCACACCACCATACTTCACGATCCCAAATGTAGATTGGACTACCCACTTGCTCTAATCAGGCTCCACCATACATATTTTCAGCCTCGATTACTCCTCCAGGAACTCTTCCTGTAAATACAAGGCTCAAGCTACATTCAAAGGGTTCAAACACCAAACCAAAGCCTCCCACGGAGCAACTTATTTTTTCCTGTAATGCACTTTCNAACAGGCGCACCACTTATCCATCCTACACTCATCAACATCTCGACGCACGGTAGACCGTGCTGGCACGCCCGCGCACAACCGCACCGCACCCAAAAGCAGGAAGCCGCGTGTCAACGCATATCCCCTCGACTCGGAACTCCAGGCCGTGAGATTTGCGCGGCAGACATTAATTATTTGAGCAAGGAGCCTAGAAAAAGCAACATTACGAGTTGACAATAGGCAAACGTGTGACCATCTTGTAGATGCATCGATTAAAACCATAAAATAACGAAATGGTCCACAAGATGGGTGAATTGGCCCACAAATATCCCCTTGAATTCTCTGTAAGAAATATGGACATTCAAAGTCAAGTTTTGACGGAGAAGGTCTGATGATCAATTTCCCTTGGGAGCAAGCTTTGCAAGACTGGTCAATGGACAAAGTACTATGGTAAGGTTTTAAAGGATGTCCATTTGAATTTGAAATAATCCTACGCATCATTGTGGATCCAGGATGCCCAAGACGATCACGCCAAAGCATGAAGGTCGTTGGGTCAATGAACTTCTGGTTCATGATAGCATGGACTTCAACTGCTTTGATGGTTGTATAATACAATCCAGAAGAGAAAGCAGAAAGTGTTTCCAATATATGCCTT